GGTCCAAGGCCATCCTCTGTCATGGCCAACAGCCGCAACTTCTCCCAAGGATCCCTCCAGTGAGGGGGCTTACCTAAAGCTACCACAACATGGTAATGGGGACGCCCGCTGGCGTGCAGCTCCCTAGAGCCGAAATACTGTACCCCAAAGTCTTCCAGCTGCGCATCAGGCTTGCTGGTGTAACACCTCCGGAGTGTTTCGCGAAAACGCTTCTCAAACTCAGACACATCCATGATCTGACTCTTGCTGTACGTCAGCATAAAATACTTCGTCCGAAGTATAAACACCTTCTCTCCATCCCGATCGTTCGGTCGAATGTCCGCCCACTCATCCTGAGCTGGATCAGGAACCTCGTCTTCCTCGTACGTCTGCACGACCACCTCGTGCCCCTCCGGCAAAACCACGGCGCACTCCTCCTGCACCTCCATCCTGCCTGCCGCTCCGCTTGCTGTTTTTCGTCCCGAGAAAAGAGAAAGACAAGAGAGAAATCCTTTGCCCTGCTTGTAGGGGGGCTCGAGCCCCCCTTTGTAGTTCCACGTGGGAGCCAGTGTGCCCACTGGACTCCCGATTAGGTAACGAAACTGGGCCACCAGCCCCGTTTCTGATAGGTGGAGCGGTAGGGTCCAGGGACCCACCCGCGTCAACGGTCAACGCCCATCTTACAAGTGAATCATACAGAGCTCGCACCAAATGCTCGCTAGATGGGCGTTCTGATTCGCTCAAATCGCGAAATATTCCCTGTCGTATCCACTTTGGTCAACGAACTTCGTTGACGACGACCCCTTGGCTCGCCGTCGCCTCGTCCGTCTGTTGGTCACGCGCCATGCCACCTTCGGCGTCAGCCACGCTCCCACACTCTGTGTTTGTTGTTGCATAGCCATGGTTTCTCTTTGCAGTAGAAAATATGATTTCATCATCTCACTTCCGTGGTTATTCGCCACGTCGCTACGCTCGTGTGGCACAGGGCTGCCGCCCCGTACCCCGCCGATCCGGAATCTTAGCTCTCTTTTCCGACAGCATGTGGTACCAGACTATCAGCAGTCTTTAGCTGCACGCATCTTGTTGGGGCAAACGAAGCCCCTCACTGTTAGTGTTTCTCTAATCTCACGATGTTTTTTGGTGGTTGGCTCCACCACATTTCATTTCATTCATTTCATTCCATTGCATCAATCACTCTGTTCACTCGCACACTCCGTTCATTCAACGTAACATTTCTCCAGATCCAAGATCTCCCACTACGGCCTCTCCGACACACGCTTCTGCTGCTCTCCTATCTAACCAGTGGTGCCACGCACGTCCAGCCTCCTTCCAGGACAGCAAAACATATGAGCATCCAGCATCCACGGATACCTAATACCCAATCCTTTCATGCTGCGCCCTACGGCGCAGGAGTACCGCTCGAGTCTCCCGATCCACGGAGCGAAGATCATCCCAGAGGCAGTCCTCCGCAGTCATCGTCGCACATATGCACGGCTTGTCCTCCGTACAACATACCTGGTTGCGCCAGCGCGCCCGTACCTCCACAATAGAAGGCTCACTCCAGCCCATGACGGCAGGAGTACCAAGGCTCATCACCCATTCTTCGACCCACTCCGACAACACCTGCACACAGCTGAATTTGGTCTTCATGACAATCTGCCTGGCCAAATAGGCAGAAGCAAAGAGACTCGCAGCGACCCACTGCCTCCTCGTCGCGAATCTCCACAGGAGAGAGACATACCTGTCAGGGTCCGCCCCAGCGGACGAAGGGTGACAAGCGCACCTGCACCATAGCGCATCCTGCACCGCCACCGGCACGTAAAACCAAGACCGCACAAGACGCAGCTCCTCTGCCGAGCGAAGGGGATATCGAAACCCCCAGCGAACACGCGTCGCCATCAGGCTCGCTAATCGAAACGTCGCAATGGGGAGACCCTCTCCGTCCATCTCCCCCGGGGAAGAAAAACCCTGCAAGGGAAAGCCAAACTCCGTGCACCACTGCCACAGTGCCTGCGTGAAGCCTCGCTCCACTTCCTCAAGCGAGTAGTCGGGACCTCTCGGTCTGTCCCCGTCCCGCACGTGTTCAATCGTCTCCGCCATCAACGCAACCCACCGCTGCTTCGCCGTCACCAGGCTCGAAAATCGATACCAATCTCGCCTCTCCGCCTCCGGCGACAACTTGAGCAGGTACACGCCCTGCTTCAACGACTCTTCATGAGGCTCCGCCCTATCAGCATCGCTTGCGCTCTCGCCCATCTTCCCAGCGAAAAGGGAAGAAAGCCAGGAAAATGAACAACCCCTCCCGATCGTTGTTGCGTCCCTCCCGCCGCGCTGCTTGGTTTTCTGCCCGAAAAAAAGAAAGGAAGAAAGATTGGAACTCTGCTGCCAACTTTCAGAAGGGCACAGCCCTTCCTTTGTATCTTCGAATGTGGGGCCAGCGCCACAGCGCTAGGCCCTAAAGGGTAGTCGAACTGGGCCACCAGGCCCCGTTCTCATAGGTCAGCCAGTCGGGGTCCAAGGACCCACTCTGTCAACGGTCAACGCCCATCTTACAAGTGAATCATACAGAGCTCGCACCAAATGCTCGCTAGATGGGCGTTCTGATTCGCTCAAATCGCGAAATATTCCCTGTCGTATCCACTTTGGTCAACGAACTTCGTTGACGACGACCCCTTGGCTCGCCGTCGCCTCGTCCGTCTGTTGGTCACGCGCCATGCCACCTTCGGCGTCAGCCACGCTCCCACACTCTGTGTTTGTTGTTGCATAGCCATGGTTTCTCTCTGTGAGTAGAAAATATGATTTCATCATTCACTCTCGTAGTTATTCGCCACGTCGCTACGCTCGTGTGGCACAGGGCTGCCGCCCCGTACCCCGCGGATCCGGAACTCTAGCTCTCTTTTTAAGGAATTTATCGGTACCAGACCGAAAGCATGCTTGAAGGCACGCATCTTGGATTGAATGAAGCTGCACACACACAGCGTTTGCAGGATCTCACGATGTTTTTGGGTGGTTTACTCCACCTTTTAGTTCAATCACTCCGCTCATTGTTGGTTCCACTAGTCATTTCATTCATTTCACAAGACTGCCCACGCTACTTGTGGTTCCTCTGCACCGCTCATGCTATGGTCACGACAAATCTCCACACTGCCCACTCACGTGTGCATCCTCCGTCCACTGATCCCCAGACTGTCAAGCTCGTTCGGCCCTCGCAACACTACTACGTCACCGACATACTACAAACCGAAGCAACATCATGCAAAGACGACCTACAACATTCTCACGATGTCGCTAGCAAGGCTGGTCATACCCCATAGACCAGGGAACACCATCGATCCTGCGCACATACCATCTGCCATCCATGGTCTGGGTCAGCTCCGCCTCCTGCATCTCGATCGCGTGAGCCACCAAACTCAACAGCCGTAAGGCCCGCCTCGCACTGCTCGCAAAGCCAACAGGTGTCTGGAAGACAATCCCTACACAGTGAATAGCCTCAAGGCAACACACCAGGTTGCCGTACTGCCACTGCGCAGGTGTGCAATGACGATCCATCAGGTGAAAAAGCGCCTCCGGCGTCCAGCTACTCTTCTTGACAACAGCGCACTTCGTCGCAGCCAGGATCTCTCCCCACATCCTCCGGTCTCTCTTCGTCGGCTCATCGCCATGAGCTCCGCGCACCAGCTGATGCACAAGCCAATGCATACGCTTCACGAGCCACTCCACGTACTGAAAGCCCATCTGGGCCTCCGTGGTCACCCGCTCCACCGCGGCCGGGTATCTCATCACGCGCACCCGAACATTCGTCTGCGCCGCCCAGCGACACAAACACTCCACCAGCGTCCCGCCGGACAAGTCCACGGCCACCAGAGCCGTGTCCAGACCAAAGACATCCGCCATAGCGGACACGAGATCACTCACCTCCTCCGGAGAACAGCTTGTCAGCCTCCGCTTCCCCCACGCCACAGCGTGCGACCCCTCGTCCACGACGGGAAGGTAGGCAGCCCCAGCAGCCTGCCCATCATCTCCGACCGCGGTGAACCACGTCTCCAGGACCCTCCGAGGCCCCAGAAACAGACACCCGTCCGTCTCCTCCATGTCTTCCGACAGCGAAGAGGGCTCCTCTCTCGCCCTCATAACTCCTCCGGAGAAAAGAAGAAAGAAAAAGAAAGAAAGCGCAACCCTCCCGTCGTTGCTGCACCCCGTGTTGCCGCTCCACTGTTGTTTCCCCCGGAAAAATAAAATAGAAGGAAAGAAATGCTCGACCCTCCCATTCTTGGAAGGGCCCCAGCCCTTCCTTTAGTATCTTCGAAGGTGGTAGAAACTGACCCAGTTTCGTCCCAAATAGGTAACCAGACTGGGCCAGCAGGCCCAGTTCTGATTGGAAGGTAAGCGGGGGGTCAGGACCCACCCGCGTCAACGGTCAACGCCCATCTTACAAGTGAATCATACAGAGCTCGCACCAAATGCTCGCTAGATGGGCGTTCTGATTCGCTCAAATCGCGAAATATTCCCTGTCGTATCCACTTTGGTCAACGAACTTCGTTGACGACGACCCCTTGGCTCGCCGTCGCCTCGTCCGTCTGTTGGTCACGCGCCATGCCACCTTCGGCGTCAGCCACGCTCCCACACTCTGTGTTTGTTGTTGCATAGCCATGGTTTCTCTCTGTGAGTAGAAAATATGATTTCATCATCTCACTTCCGTGGTTATTCGCCACGTCGCTACGCTCGTGTGGCACAGGGCTGCCGCCCCGTACCCCGCGGTTCCGGAAAGGAAGTACCTCTTTTTAACATTACTAGCGGTAATCGTAGGGTAAAAGCATGCTTACACAGCACGCATGGTCCCGGGAGAAGCGAGGCACACTTGTTGGTGCCGTCGAAGGGGGTAGGAGCTTAGGGTTAGAAAAAAGGGAGCGCCCCAGCGCGACCCAGGGCCTCTAGAAAAGATACTCTCATCACTCTGTTTTACGTACATCACTCATTTCATTTCGTGGTTTGTTCTACCAGTTCATTCTATTCATTTCATTCATGGTTCTGTCTCTGTCTGTAGTCGGTGCATCTTCGCACCTGCTGGGTGGGGGAAGTGAGGCCCCACTGCACTAGTGTTGGAGTCATCTCGCGATGTTCTGTGGTGGTTCGTGCACCACCAGGGAAAGAAAGAAGAGAGATCAGCTCTCTCCCGTAGCACCTCGCGTCGCCAGGCGCACCCACTGCCTGCTACCCCGCAGCCTGGTCTACAAGGAAGGCACGTTCCACTGTGTTGGATACCATACTACAGTCTCCCCCATAGAGACTACCCAGCTTGGTAAGCTGCATCAGCACGTATGCCAGCTGAAAGACACCCAGGTCCTTGGCCGTCCCTCGCCACTGGAATAACTTCAGCTTCGGACAGGAACACCATCCGAGATTCCTGCTCGCCGAGCAATGGCTACCAAGACTCATCATGTACTCATCCACACTCCTCGTCGCATCCCTGATACGCCTCCAGCATGCACTCCGCAGCTCCTCGTTTACCGGCCCGGAACACTGCACTCCCCAGTGGAACACCTGCACCGGGGTCAGGCTCCCATCGCCTGCCATCTCCTCGGCTCGGATCTCCTCGACAGTAACTGCCACACAACAATCCCGGCACCAAGCCTCCAGGGCTTCTGACATCTCTGTGCCCATCGCTGCCCACTCCGTAGAGAGCTCCGCTCGATGTTTGTCGAAAATAGCCATAATCTTGCTCTGCAGTACACTCCCGCTCGGTCGCACAGTCCCCGGACGTACAACCCTCCTCATGTGAAGAGGAAGAAGAGGTCGAAGCCTCACCAGGCGCGCCACCCCCGTGGCCTGCTGCCCCTCCGTACCCGTCGTGGCCATCTCGTCTCACTGTCGTTCGTGTCGCCGATGCACGCAGTGCATCAGTAGGCTTGGTTCTTGGCCACAAGAACATAAGAAGAAAAAAATAGGAAGCCCCCAGGCTTCCGTCTGTCCTCTCGTCCCTCCTACTCACCTGTTCGTCCGTGCCCAAGGCACTGCTCTCCTGAGGGAGAAAAGAAGAAAAGTAAAGAACAACGATCCTCCTGTTGTTGCGTCCCTCCTGCCGTGTCCACTGTTTTCCTCCAGGAATGAAGGAAAAGAAGGAAAGAACTGCTCGACCCTCCCATTCTTCGAAGGGGCACCAGCCCCTTCTCTTGTAGTTTCAAAGTCGGGTGCAGTGTGCCCACTGCAACCCTAAAAGGGTAACGGATTGTGGCCAGCAGGCCACATCCTCATAGGTCAGCCAGTCGGGGTCCAAGGACCCACTCTGTCAACGGTCAACGCCCATCTTACAAGTGAATCATACAGAGCTCGCACCAAATGCTCGCTAGATGGGCGTTCTGATTCGCTCAAATCGCGAAATATTCCCTGTCGTATCCACTTTGGTCAACGAACTTCGTTGACGACGACCCCTTGGCTCGCCGTCGCCTCGTCCGTCTGTTGGTCACGCGCCATGCCACCTTCGGCGTCAGCCACGCTCCCAGCTTCCAGCGTTGTTGTTGTTATAGCCATATGTTCTACTAGTAGTAACAGCATTCATTCTTCATGTCTCTTCGAGTTATTCGCCACGGCTGCTGCGCAGCTAGTGGCACAGGGCTGCCGCCCCGTACCCCGCGGTTCCGGAAAAGAAGTACCTCTTTCTGACAGCATTCGGTACCAGACTAAAAGCATGTTTTAGGACATGCATCTTTTGAGGGCATGCACACACAGTGTTCTGCAGATCTCACGATCCTTCTTGGTGGTTAGTGCACCACACTTCATCTCATTTCATTCAATCAGTCACGCTGTTCAATTTCTATCGTTCCTCTTATTCATGCACGCAGCTTCCACTACTTATGATACATCCATCTCATCCTGTCTCAAGCCTGCTGCTGCACTACGCATCGCATGGTCCCTAATTCCACCTTGACCACAAAAGAAAACCACCGTCGACTCCGTCTCTACGCCAGCTCATCGCCACGTACTAGTCCAGCTCCGGCGGGACGATGCACAACTGAATGTTAAAAGAAAGGGTAGCTCTCCGAGCAGCCAAGCGGGGAGAACAAAGACGGCCCGCAGCGGCCTGTACACTAACCAGAACGTAAGCCATACTAACCAAGTACCACTGCTCACGCGTGCAATGCGCATCAACGAAATGATGCAGATCTTCCAATCGGCCCACAGGATCCTGGGAAGAATGCCTCCAGCACATAGAACAGATCCTATGAGAGCGCAGCTCACGCACCACCGGCACATCGAAAGACACACACGCATCACCGCGCCGCGCTGCAGCAGACGCCATGGCAAGCACAAGCCCCGCGAAATACGGAACAAGCCCCGACACCACAGGGCTCCTCTCCCCCTCCGTGGAAGGCAACGGCCGACTCTCCATGGTCAGCCCACGGTCCCGCGCCCAGCGCAGAAGGGAAGTAGACAACAGTCGCTCCGCACCCTGCAACTCGGACAAAGTCCCGCGACCACACCGAGTCATCACTCCATCTAACATCGCCTCCAGCTCTAGCGCAACAGTCAAGCGAAGATCCGGGTCCTGCGAGGACACCTGATCCAACCACTGCTCCGAGGTCTGACTCCATCCTACCAAGTATTGATCCTCAGCACACTCCATTCTGCTCGACCCCCGGTCAGGGAAGACCAGTCACAACCGTTCCTCTCTCACGTCCACCAGGACGCTACTGTAAGAAAACAAAGCGCCACAAGCGCTCCTCCTCTCTGCCTTCGTACACAACCAAGCCTTGCTCGTGTTCCGACGCCGCGCAGCGGCTATCTGAGGGGACCACCAGTCCCCGTGCTGCCTCCGCTCCTCCTAATCGCTCACTGTCGTTCGTGTCGCCGATGCACGCAGTGCATCAGTAGGCTTGGTTCTTGGCCACAAGAACAAAGGGAAAAGAAAATCCAAAGGACAACTCCTCCGTCTCGTTGTTCCGTCCCGACTGTCGCTCTGCTATTGCTTGCTCCTGCAAAGTAGAAGGAAGAAATGTCCTGCCAGTTCATTCTTCGAGGAGGGCTCCCGCCCTCCCTTTGTACTTTCAAGGTTGGTCCAAAGTGGCCCACTTTGTCCCTTTTAGGTAACGGATTGTGGCCAGCAGGCCACATCCTCATAGGTCAGCCAGTCGTGGAGGCAGGCTCCACTCTGTCAACGGTCAACGCCCATCTTACAAGTGAATCATACAGAGCGCCCATACAAATGGTCGCGAAGATGGGCTGTGATTCGTCCAATCGACGAAATATTCCCTGTCGTATCCACTTTGGTCAACGAACTTCGTTGACGACGACCCCTTGGCTCGCCGTCGCCTCGTCCGTCTGTTGGTCACGCGCCATGCCACCTTCGGCGTCAGCCACGCTCCCACACTCTGTGTTTGTTGTTGCATAGCCATGGTTTCTCTTTGCAGTAGAAAATATGATTTCATCATTTTACTCTCGTAGTTATTCGCCACGTCGCTACGCTCGTGTGGCACAGGGCTGCCGCCCCGTACCCCGCCGATCCGGAATCTTAGCTCTCTTTTCCGACAGCATGTGGTACCAGACTATCAGCAGTCTTTAGCTGCACGCATCTTGTTGGGGCAAACGAAGCCCCTCACTGTTAGTGTTTCTCTAATCTCACGATGTTTTTTGGTGTTTCACACACGTTTTTCATTTCATCTCATGCAATCATTCATTCACTCTGTTCAATTTCAATCACCCTGTTCACTGGTTGTTCGACTCATCTCATCATCCATCCTGTTTGTCATTCCCATTCCACTAATCTACAAGTGCTCCGCGCGTGCATAGCACAAGACTCTGTTCGCGTGTATACAAATCCCCATGGTGAAACCACGCGAGTAGAAAGAGAAGTCTACCGCCACCGGTCTAGTACGCATACCTCTGGCAGAACAGCCTGTATCTCCCAAGAGCCCCACGTAGTCCTGGAGGGGCAAGAATGAGATCATCCTCCGACCAACAATCCTTCACCGCCAAGCTAACGCAAGTGCACGGCTTCTCCTCCGTGCAGGATACCTGGTTCCGCCACTGATCAGCTGCGGCCCAGAAAGAAGACGCAGTCCAACCCAGCACTGCGGTGCTACCAAGGCTCATCAGCCACTCTTCCACGCAGAGTGAGACAACATCCATGTCTTGTATCTGGGCCCACTGGCCAATATATCTAGCCAAATAGGCAGAAGCAAAGAGACTCGCAGCGACCCACTGCCTCCTCGTAGCAAATCTCCCCAGGAGACTCACGTACGGATCAGAGTCCGCCCCAGCGGACAAAGAGTGACAAACACATTCGCACCCAAGTGCGGACTTCACAGCCCTCGGCACAAACCGCCGAGCATTCCCGAAGAACTGCTCCCTGACGTCCCGAGACGACACCTCATACCGGTGAGGCGCACGCATCGCCATCAAGCTCGCGAGCTGGAACGTGCTAATAGGGAGACCCTCTCCCTCCATCTCCCCCGGGGAAGAAAAACCCTGCACAGAGAGTCCGAACTCCTCGCACCACTGCCACAGTGCCTTGGTAAACGTCCGCTCCACTTCCTCAATCGAGTGCTCCAGACCTCTCGGTCCATCGCCGTCCAAAACCTGTCCCGTTGTCTCCGCCATCAACGCAGACCATCGCAAGCGAGCAGCGTCCTTAGGAAGCCTGCAGCTCCACTGCTGAACCTCCGCATCCTCTCGGAGCGTAACAAAATACACGCCCTGCTTCACTTCGTGTCCCCGAGGGGCACTATCTCCGACAAGACCCATCCTGGTCCAGATCTTCTGCGAAGAAGGAAAAGAAAAAGAAAAGTGCACAACGATCCCCTGTTGTGGTACTCCGTCTGCCGCTCTGCTGTTTTCCTCCAAGAATGAAGGAAAGAAGGAAGAGAATGTCTGCACCCCATCCATCTCTTGGAAGGGCCCCAGCCCTTCCTTTAGTATCTTCGAAGGTGGTAGAAACTGACCCAGTTTCGTCCCAAATAGGTAACCAGACTGGGCCAGCAGGCCCAGTTCTGATTGGAAGGTAAGCGGGGGGTCAGGACCCACCCGCGTCAACGGTCAACGCCCATCTTACAAGTGAATCATACAGAGCTCGCACCAAATGCTCGCTAGATGGGCGTTCTGATTCGTCCAAAGGCCAAATTATTCCCTGTCGTATCCACTTTGGTCAACGAACTTCGTTGACGACGACCCCTTGGCTCGCCGTCGCCTCGTCCGTCTGTTGGTCACGCGCCATGCCACCTTCGGCGTCAGCCACGCTCCCAGCTTCCAGCGTTGTTGTTGCATAGCCATGGTGTTTCTACTAGTAGTAACAATATGATTTCATCATTGCTCTTCGAGGTGAGCGCCAGGGTCCTGCGGACCACGGCACAGGGGGCTTCCCCCTGTAACCCCCTTCTTTCCGGAATAGAAGTACCTCTTTTTGACAGCATGCAGTCAAAGTAATAAAGGCATGCTCTAGGGCACGCATCTTTGCACAAGTGAGGCTCCACTTCTACAGCATTTCACGCATCTCACGATACTTTCTGGTGTTTTCCACACTGCACAGGTTACTTGTTCCACATATTGCCATTCGTCCCCTCATGGGTTCACTCTCATTCTTACTCATCGTCCCATGTTCAACTTCGCACCACAGTGCGACACAGCCTACGCTACCGAGCACATACTCCAGCAAGGATGCAGCCTCAACTGCAGAGGGTCACCAAGACCTGGAAAAAGAAGACACGTCCCGGGTATGCCACACATCCATGCACCACCGGCACACCCAAAGCTCACCCACGCTCGCAATAGATGCAACACCTCCCTCGTCCACACCGAGGACTCGGACGCAGCACCAACCCCTGGTTGATTCTGCCAGTAGTCATATGCTTGTCTCAAAGATTAAGCCATGCATGTCTAAGTATAAGCAATTATACAGCGAAACTGCGAATGGCTCATTACATCAGTTATCGTTTATTTGATAGTACCTTACTACTTGGATAACCGTGGTAATTCTAGAGCTAATACATGCTAAAAACCCCGACTCACGAAGGGGTGTATTCTCCAAGGCCTCCTGCCATCCAATGATTAGCTCGTGCCAGCATATGTAATGCCTGTCATCCACCGCTGCTCTCTTACCATCGCCAAAGGTCCTCCCAGGTAGGACCGCTCGTGCCACATGTGAACGCCTCTCGTCCCCATCGCTAGTGATCATGCCGCTCCACGCAAGGAATCAACGCTTCCACCGGAATCTCCTCGTCTGCCGACTCATCCTGTGCTTCCACCAGCCCCTCCGGCGCAACCATGACCTCGGCTCCCCTCGTAGTAGACTGTCGCCCTTTCCCCTCCCGGGATCGCACCGCCCCGCGTGCCTGGAAATACGCTCGTCGCCCCGCCGACTACAACGTTAGCCACTGCCGTGACCACTTCCTGACGGCCTCCGCCAACATCCGCCCCACGAGGTCGGATAGTCAAGGTAAGACCTACTCGAATCTTCGGCCCCTCCTTCCCAGTCGTGCTCCCTACGGAAGACATCGTTCCACAGCCTCGCCCTGCAACTAGCAAGTATCACTCCGTCACGTCAGCCTCCGTCCGACAACGACTACTATCTCGGCATCCTGCCATCTCACAGCGCTGCAACGCACCCCCGTGCACTGCATCCATCCAGGACGTTCACCTCCGGCAAACACATACCAACGTATCCTACCGCTCCCGCAACACCTCACTCCGTTCTTATCGCCCCGCTGCTGTTTTCCGCCGGAAAATGAAAAGAAGGAAGAAGAGAAATCCTTTGCTCTCTCCTGGGGAGGGCCTCAGCCCTCCCTTATGTAAATCCATGTGGGTCTCTGGTTTGCCCACCAGAGCCCTAAAAGGGTAACCAGACTGGGCCAGCAGGCCCAGTTCTGATTGGAAGGTAAGCGGGGGGTCAGGACCCACCCGCGTCAACGGTCAACGCCCATCTTACAAGTGAATCATACAGAGCTCGCACCAAATGCTCGCTAGATGGGCGTTCTGATTCGCTCAAATCGCGAAATATTCCCTGTCGTATCCACTTTGGTCAACGAACTTCGTTGACGACGACCCCTTGGCTCGCCGTCGCCTCGTCCGTCTGTTGGTCACGCGCCATGCCACCTTCGGCGTCAGCCACGCTCCCACACTCTGTGTTTGTTGTTGCATAGCCATGGTTTCTCTCTGTGAGTAGAAAATATGATTTCATCATTCACTCTCGTAGTTATTCGCCACGTCGCTACGCTCGTGTGGCACAGGGCTGCCGCCCCGTACCCCGCGGTTCCGGAAAAGAAGTACCTCTTTTTAAGGAATTTAGTGGTACCAGACCACCAGCATGCTTGAGCTTACACGCATCTCGCACATTTGAGGTCACACAAGTGACTGTTTCACGCATCTCACGATTCTTTCTGGTGGTTTACTCCACACATTGTTGCAGCCAATTCAGTCACTTCATTGATCACGCTGTTTGTTCATGCACTCATTTCATTTCGTTGTACTGCTTGCTCCAATTCATTCTATTCATGATTTGGTCCAGCCATCCTGATAACTCCACATGCTCTAGAGAGTAGTCGCCATAAACTCCTGCACATCGTCGAGAATCCTCTCATCCTTCTTCGCCCGCTCCAGCGTCACACGCCCCGCAGGGGTATGCGGCTCGGAAAGCGACAACACACGTCTCGGCTGCCGCAACACAGTCCGGGTACACAACCTGACCAAAGCAGAAAGGAACCTGCCATCTCGCCCCGGGCTCTGGCATAATGCTTGCGTGATAAGAGGAAAAGGCTGGACAATCCTGTCCGCGAAGACACATTCCGCAGCCATCATGTGCTTGCACTCCCGTATCCGGTAGCCCACCAGGTCCTCCTCGTCCACCACGACGAGCCTGAACCCAGACCTGGGACACGAGAACAGGCCGAAACGTGCGCTACACAGCTGCTGCTTGCGCAGAAAGAATTCCGAGGTCCGTCCCTTCTTGGCCTGCTTCCTCATACATTTCGCAACATCCTTCTCCGAGGAAGAACAACCCAGTCTGTCCTGCAAGAAGTGCACCAGGTACCCCACCTTGGTAAGAGCACGACCATATGGTTCCTCCAAGGCCATCTTCGAGGGCACCAAGATCGTCAACCACTCCTCCTTCATCACGCCCGACCAATAGAGGTCAAGCGGTCCCGCCGCGCAGGCTTCTGCACCTCCCAGTGCAGCCAAGAAAGAGGACACGTCCTGCTCCTCCATGAGCCCTGTCTTCCATAGCCACTTACTCACCATCTCTCGATGGCGCTCACGTGGAGTCTCCGCCCCCCGCGTATCCACCAGCCTCTGCATGTCGCCCACCGGGTCATCCTCCCGAGCTACCAGAATCTGCTTCCGCAGCTCAGCCGTCACTTCCCTCCTCTTCTCCTGCAACACATCGTCCCATGTTGAAGTACTCGCCGCCATCTCGTCTCGTGTCCCTCCCGGATGCACGCAGTGCAGCCACAAGGCTTGGTTCTTGGCCACAAGAACATAAGAAGAAAAAAATAGGAAGCCTCCAGGCTTCCGTCTGTCCCTCCCTTCTCCCGAAGAAGAGGTATGCACAAAGTCTCCGTCGATTGTGTGTTCGTCCCGCGTGTCGCTCCGCTGTGTTTTTCCTCCGAAAAAGGTGTAGAAGGAAAGAACGCCGTTGCTCTCCTTCCGATGGGCTCCCGCCCATCTTTGTAGTTTGCCAAGTGGGGCCAGAACTGACCCAGTTCCTGTCCCAAAAGGGTAGTCGATATGGGCCAGCAGGCCCACTTCTCATTGGGTAGCGAGGTAGGTCCAAGGACCCACTCTCGTCAACGGTCAACGCCCATCTTACAAGTGAATCATACAGAGCGCCCATACAAATGGTCGCGAAGATGGGCTGTGATTCGTCCAATCGACGAAATATTCCCTGTCGTATCCACTTTGGTCAACGAACTTCGTTGACGACGACCCCTTGGCTCGCCGTCGCCTCGTCCGTCTGTTGGTCACGCGCCATGCCACCTTCGGCGTCAGCCACGCTCCCACACTCTGTGTTTGTTGTTGCATAGCCATATGTTCTACTAGTAGTAACAGCATTCATTCTTCATGTCTCTTCGAGTTATTCGCCACGGCTGCTGCGCAGCTAGTGGCACAGGGCTGCCGCCCCGTACCCCGCCGATCCGGAATCTTAGCTCTCTTTTCCGACAGCATGTGGTACCAGACTATCAGCAGTCTTTAGCTGCACGCATCTTGTGGTTTGAGGCTGCACACCCTCACTATTTTTACATCTCACGATATTCTTTGGTGTTTCACACATGTTTTTCATTTCATTCACTCAATCATGCACCCTGTTTATGAATAGTCCCACGCATCATTCCATCCCTATGCTTCCACGAATGTTTCCACACAAAAGTCGTGCCACAATATCCAGATGATCCTATCTACTTCCACCCAGTTTCATAAGTACACAGTCCTCCACCTACGGCCGTATACACAGAAGGCCTCCGCAAGTGCTACAAACGTAACACCAATACCTCCTCCAAGCGCGCTGCAAAGAGAGACCCTCTCCACATCCAGCCTCTGCTAGTTCTGAACACCCGCCACTGCGGACAAGTCACGTCAAGTCCGGGAGCTACCGCTCCCCGTGGCCAAGGCACCACCAAGTACCCATAGACATGTTCAACACTCGCCCTCCGGACCAGACCCAACTACTGTTGCAGGCAAGTTGGAAGTGCGCCAGCGAAAGGAAGACGAGGAGGAAGAAAGGTGCGCGCCCGCGCGACCGGGGCCCTGCAATGTCACACCACTACCATCCGGCTGCACCACATCCTCACACAACTGCCGCCCTCCCTCCCGGAGAGAGCCAAGCACACTCACAGCCCTCTGCAAGGCTGCCTCACTCTGAGTTGGATCCACCAACTGAGTCAGAACAAACTTCACGCGCTCAGCGACGTACTCACCAATCTCGCTCGCCATCTGCTCGATCACCAGCCCCGTCTCCGTCGGTGCTTCACGTCCTGCTGTCCCGCTCCTCGTCCCTTTCCGAAACCGAGACAATAATGGTGACTCCTCTCCCCAGGACTCACCATCCTCCTGGCTGCTACCGGACACCTCAATCCGTCGCCTCTTCCGCCCTCGCTCCAAACGAGGCGGTGAACTAGGACACGACGAAGACGAGATCATCACAGGCACCGCTGCTGACCCGGATAAGCCTGCCCTGCCAGGGCGAGGCGTGCATGGCACCAGAGACTCACGCTCCATAGACTCGTCCTCCGAACTTGAACAAGTCGAGCTCCCTAGGGACACCGCCCCAAAGTCGCCCTGCTCCCTATCCTTCACCACGAAGGAACCGATCGACCACCTGTCGCTCTCCTCCGAGTCGTCTACAACTCCTCGTCAGCGTCCGCACACGTGTCCATCCATGACACTTACCATCTCCGCGAGGCCCACGTGCCTCTGTCAACAAATAGTCGCCCACCGAGCGACCCCGCATCCCGCTAGTATCGTCCCTCGAGTTCCCGCCAGGAATGAAAAGAAGAGAAGAATGGAAATCCCCCCCATCTTCTGGGAGGGTGCACACCCTCCCTTTGTAGTTTGCCAAGTAGGCAGCAACTGACCCAGTTGCATGCCCAAAAGAGTAACGAAACTGGGCCACCAGCCCCGTTTCTGATAGGTGGAGCGGTAGGGTCCAGGGACCCACTCTGTCAACGGTCAACGCCCATCTTACAAGTGAATCATACAGAGCTCGCACCAAATGCTCGCTAGATGGGCGTTCTGATTCGCTCAAATCGCGAAATATTCCCTGTCGTATCCACTTTGGTCAACGAACTTCGTTGACGACGACCCCTTGGCTCGCCGTCGCCTCGTCCGTCTGTTGGTCACGCGCCATGCCACCTTCGGCGTCAGCCACGCTCCCACACTCTGTGTTTGTTGTTGCATAGCCATGGTTTCTCTCTGTGAGTAGAAAATATGATTTCATCATCTCACTTCCGTGGTTATTCGCCACGTCGCTACGCTCGTGTGGCACAGGGCTGCCGCCCCGTACCCCGCGGTTCCGGAAAAGAAGTACCTCTTTTTAAGGAATTTAGTGGTACCAGACCACCAGCATGCTTGAGCTTACACGCATCGGCCCACATGAGGCTGTACTCTCGTACTGTTTCACGCATCTCACGATTCTTTCTGGTGGTTTGTTCTACCACCACACATCTCATTTCATTCAGTCATTCATTCACTCCGCTCATTTGTTGTTCCACCCTGTTTGTTCCAAGGTGCATTCATTTCATTGTTTGTTCACTGAACTGGTTATTCATTCACTCCGTTCGTTTCAATCATACATGACTCTATACGCTCCATCACACGGCTGGTCTGATGCACTGCTTCCTGCAGACACCCCGTCTACACCACACGACCGAGAGACCTCCGCAAGGTCTACCACGCCTCTGAAGTGAGCCGCCAGCACTGGCTGGTCAGGGGGAAGACACCAGCGTCTCGCTACGCTCCGAGCGATCATCGGCCTCACGGCCCTGCATGGACTCCTGCTCCGAAGAGGAATCCTCCCAAAGATCAGTCCCCTCCAAGACATAGCCAGACAGCTGGCCCTCACGCATACTGTCCGTCTCCTCCGAGATCGTAAACACAGCCCGAGGCTGACAGGCAAAAAAGTGCTCGTCCCTCCTCCCATGACTCATCCAGAGCTGCGAGCCATCTCGCTCTACCACACGGCCGTGTCCGACCGTGATGAAGGGGAAAGGCACCACCAACCTGTTGCCAAACAGACAGACACACTCCAGCGTGTTTCGACTCATACATACCTGGCAGTCCACCAGACGCGACTCCCCTACAGGGTACTCGGCTACCTGCACGCAGAACCCATCTTGCCCCTCCCTCGTCGGCGGCCGGAAAAGAGTGCTCACACCACCACGCACTCCCTTGCTCACGACCGGCGTCACGTTCGCATAACCCTGCGAGTCCACAAAGTAAGTCACAAGAGCTGCTCGACCAGCTCGATCTCGTTCCTCGTCCGGGACCAAAATCGTCATCGTCCTCCCTGCCGACGCAGAGGGCAGGCACACCCGGCCCGCCACAGATCCTGCAATACAAGACCCCGTCTCACCAAGTAAGCGACGCAGCGCACGCCCACTCCCTGGCGCTATGAACCCCGACGCCTCCAGCGCCTCATCTACCGGCGGACGAGAGTCCACCACAAACGTCTTCAGTCCCAGCATCGACGTACCTAGGCAGAACCCATCCTGCCCTTCCTTGCACTCCGCGCATCGCAAGCCGGGAAGACACGCTTCCCATAGTGCCCTCTCCATCCTGGTTCGAAGAAAGAAAAGAAGAAAGAAAGAACAACCTTCCTCCGTCTTTGTTGTGCCACTCCGTTGTTGTCGCGTCCGCTGTCGTTCCCCCCGGGAATGAAAGAGGAAGAGAAAAGAAACTCCCTTTGCTTTCTCTGGGGAGGGCTCCCGCCCTCCTTTGTAGTTTGCCATGTGGGAGAAAGTGGCCCACTTTCGTCCCTTTTAGGTAACAGATATGGGCCAGCAGGCCCATCTCTGATAGGGTAGCAAGAGATGGAGCGAGGCTCCACTCTGTCAACGGTCAACGCCCATCTTACAAGTGAATCATACAGAGCTCGCACCAAATGCTCGCTAGATGGGCGTTCTGATTCGTCCAAAGGCCAAATTATTCCCTGTCGTATCCACTTTGGTCAACGAACTTCGTTGACGACGACCCCTTGGCTCGCCGTCGCCTCGTCCGTCTGTTGGTCACGCGCCATGCCACCTTCGGCGTCAGCCACGCTCCCAGCTTCCAGCGTTGTTGTTGCATAGCCATGGTGTTTCTACTAGTAGTAACAATATGATTTCATCATTGCTCTTCGAGGTGAGCGCCAGGGTCCTGCGGACCACGGCACAGGGGGCTTCCCCCTGTAACCCCCTTCTTTCCGGAATAGAAGTACCTCTTTTTGACAGCATGCAGTCAAAGTAATAAAGGCATGCTCTAGGGCACGCATCTTTGCACAAGTGAGGCTCCACTTCTACAGCATTTCACGCATCTCACGATACTTTCTGGTGTTTTCCACACTGCACAGGTTACTTGTTCCACATATTGCCATTCGTCCCCTCATGGGTTCACTCTCATTCTTACTCATCGTCCCATGTTCAACTTCGCACCACAGTGCGACACAGCCTACGCTACCGAGCACATACTCCAGCAAGGATGCAGCCTCAACTGCAGAGGGTCACCAAGACCTGGAAAAAGAAGACACGTCCCGGGTATGCCACACATCCATGCACCACCGGCACACCCAAAGCTCACCCACGCTCGCAATAGATGCAACACCTCCCTCGTCCACACCGAGGACTCGGACGCAGCACCAACCCCTGGTTGATTCTGCCAGTAGTCATATGCTTGTCTCAAAGATTAAGCCATGCATGTCTAAGTATAAGCAATTATACAGCGAAACTGCGAATGGCTCATTACATCAGTTATCGTTTATTTGATAGTACCTTACTACTTGGATAACCGTGGTAATTCTAGAGCTAATACATGCTAAAAACCCCGACTCACGAAGGGGTGTATTCTCCAAGGCCTCCTGCCATCCAATGATTAGCTCGTGCCAGCATATGTAATGCCTGTCATCCACCGCTGCTCTCTTACCATCGCCAAAGGTCCTCCCAGGTAGGACCGCTCGTGCCACATGTGAACGCCTCTCGTCCCCATCGCTAGTGATCATGCCGCTCCACGCAAGGAATCAACGCTTCCACCGGAATCTCCTCGTCTGCCGACTCATCCTGTGCTTCCACCAGCCCCTCCGGCGCAACCATGACCTCGGCTCCCCTCGTAGTAGACTGTCGCCCTTTCCCCTCCCGGGATCGCACCGCCCCGCGTGCCTGGAAATACGCTCGTCGCCCCGCCGACTACAACGTTAGCCACTGCCGTGACCACTTCCTGACGGCCTCCGCCAACATCCGCCCCACGAGGTCGGATAGTCAAGGTAAGACCTACTCGAATCTTCGGCCCCTCCTTCCCAGTCGTGCTCCCTACGGAAGACATCGTTCCACAGCCTCGCCCTGCAACTAGCAAGTATCACTCCGTCACGTCAGCCTCCGTCCGACAACGACTACTATCTCGGCATCCTGCCATCTCACAGCGCTGCAACGCACCCCCGTGCACTGCATCCATCCAGGACGTTCACCTCCGGCAAACACATACCAACGTATCCTACCGCTCCCGCAACACCTCACTCCGTTCTTATCGCCCCGCTGCTGTTTTCCGCCGGAAAATGAAAAGAAGGAAGAAGAGAAATCCTTTGCTCTCTCCTGGGGAGGGCCTCAGCCCTCCCTTATGTAAATCCATGTGGGTCTCTGGTTTGCCCACCAGAGCCCTAAAAGGGTAACCAGACTGGGCCAGCAGGCCCAGTTCTGATTGGAAGGTAAGCGGGGGGTCAGGACCCACCCGCGTCAACGGTCAACGCCCATCTTACAAGTGAATCATACAGAGCTCGCACCAAATGCTCGCTAGATGGGCGTTCTGATTCGTCCAAAGGCCAAATTATTCCCTGTCGTATCCACTTTGGTCAACGAACTTCGTTGACGACGACCCCTTGGCTCGCCGTCGCCTCGTCCGTCTGTTGGTCACGCGCCATGCCACCTTCGGCGTCAGCCACGCTCCCAGCTTCCAGCGTTGTTGTTGTTATAGCCATATGTTCTACTAGTAGTAACAGCATTCATTCTTCATGTCTCTTCGAGTTATTCGCCACGGCTGCTGCGCAGCTAGTGGCACAGGGCTGCCGCCCCGTACCCCGCGGTTCCGGAAAGGAAGTACCTCTTTTTAACATTACTAGCGGTAATCGTAGGGTAAAAGCATGCTTACACAGCACGCATGGTCCCGGGAGAAGCGAGGCACACTTGTTGGTGCCGTCGAAGGGGGTAGGAGCTTAGGGTTAGAAAAAAGGGAGCGCCCCAGCGCGACCCAGGGCCTCTAGAAAAGATACTCTCATCACTCTGTTTTACGTACATCACTCATTTCATTTCGTGGTTTGTTCTACCAGTTCATTCTATTCATTTCATTCATGGTTCTGTCTCTGTCTGTAGTCGGTGCATCTTCGCACCTGCTGGGTGGGGGAAGTGAGGCCCCACTGCACTAGTGTTGGAGTCATCTCGCGATGTTCTGTGGTGGTTCGTGCACCACCAGGGGAGGGAGAAAAGGGAGGAAGTCTCACGACCAAACTACTCCCGTATCCAGGCGCGCCAGTCACCTGCTATCGCAAAGGCCGGACATCTCTGAGGTCTGCCGAAGACCATCTCCCCGACGGTCCAACGTGGTCCCCCAAGCAGGATCACCTGCCCAGCAACGCCCACGGCGTGCATCATGGCCACCGAGCAGCATGTCTGCCGCCCCTATGGTAACGATACCACCCCAGTGGCAACGAGTCTCATCACCGACACAACCGCGTGCGGACGCGGCTCTCCTGGGTACATGACCCAGAACGTGAAGACAACCTTCCGCTGCTTCCAATGCTCCGCATCAGTCCAAGAAGCCGGCCTGGCCGAGATGATCCAACTCATACCGTCCCGCTGCTCCCCTCCCGGGCTCTTCCGCCCCCAAGCGGTCCTGTCACACACCCACTGACAGACAAAGTGCAGACGGTCAAGAAGGGGCTCTAGCTGCCATCCTGCCAACGCAACAAACTCGCCCAGCTCGGTCTCGTCAATCCCAGACGGCCCACAGGCCGTCCTCTGCCGGTAGCCAAACGCGTGCGCCACGCATCCATGGCCGCTCGTCCACTCTGCGTCCCTCGTACAAGCCTCTCCGTCCCTGCCACAGCAGTGAACAACCATCGGTCCCCGAGGACTACCAACCAAACTCCGTGGGAACAAGTACGCAGGAACACATCCTGCACGCACCACCATCACCGGACTATGGTGCTTCTGTCGCTCCCGCTCCTCCTCCTCCACGATGCCTTGCATCTGCTCGATCCATCTCGTCCACTGCTCCTCAGTCATCGCCCCCTTCGGCGACTGCACGTCCTCCGTCCCACCGCCACTCCCCGTGTCGTCCATCCTGCCTTCGCAGAGAGAAAGAAGAAAAAAGAAGAACAACTCACCCTCCGGTATGGTTGTGCACCCCGTGTTGAAGCGCCGCTTGGTTTTCTCCGAAAATGAATGAGGAAGAAAGAGAACTCCTTTGCTCTGTTCTTGGAAGGGCCCCAGCCCTTCCTTTAGTATCTTCGAAGGTGGTAGAAACTGACCCAGTTTCGTCCCAAATAGGTAACCAGACTGGGCCAGCAGGCCCAGTTCTGATTGGAAGGTAAGCGGGGGGTCAGGACCCACCCGCGTCAACGGTCAACGCCCATCTTACAAGTGAATCATACAGAGCTCGCACCAAATGCTCGCTAGATGGGCGTTCTGATTCGTCCAAAGGCCAAATTATTCCCTGTCGTATCCACTTTGGTCAACGAACTTCGTTGACGACGACCCCTTGGCTCGCCGTCGCCTCGTCCGTCTGTTGGTCACGCGCCATGCCACCTTCGGCGTCAGCCACGCTCCCACACTCTGTGTTTGTTGTTGCATATCCATGGTTTCTCTTTGCAGTAGAAAATATGATTTCATCATCTCACTTCCGTGGTTATTCGCCACGTCGCTACGCTCGTGTGGCACAGGGCTGCCGCCCCGTACCCCGCGGATCCGGAACTCTAGCTCTCTTTTTAAGGAATTTATCGGTACCAGACCGAAAGCATGCTTGAAGGCACGCATCTTGGATTGAATGAAGCTGCACACACACAGCGTTTGCAGGATCTCACGATGTTTTTGGGTGGTTTACTCCACCTTTTAGTTCAATCACTCCGCTCATTGTTGGTTCCACTAGTCATTTCATTCATTTCACAAGACTGCCCACGCTACTTGTGGTTCCTCTGCACCGCTCATGCTATGGTCACGACAAATCTCCACACTGCCCACTCACGTGTGCATCCTCCGTCCACTGATCCCCAGACTGTCAAGCTCGTTCGGCCCTCGCAACACTACTACGTCACCGACATACTACAAACCGAAGCAACATCATGCAAAGACGACCTACAACATTCTCACGATGTCGCTAGCAAGGCTGGTCATACCCCATAGACCAGGGAACACCATCGATCCTGCGCACATACCATCTGCCATCCATGGTCTGGGTCAGCTCCGCCTCCTGCATCTCGATCGCGTGAGCCACCAAACTCAACAGCCGTAAGGCCCGCCTCGCACTGCTCGCAAAGCCAACAGGTGTCTGGAAGACAATCCCTACACAGTGAATAGCCTCAAGGCAACACACCAGGTTGCCGTACTGCCACTGCGCAGGTGTGCAATGACGATCCATCAGGTGAAAAAGCGCCTCCGGCGTCCAGCTACTCTTCTTGACAACAGCGCACTTCGTCGCAGCCAGGATCTCTCCCCACATCCTCCGGTCTCTCTTCGTCGGCTCATCGCCATGAGCTCCGCGCACCAGCTGATGCACAAGCCAATGCATACGCTTCACGAGCCACTCCACGTACTGAAAGCCCATCTGGGCCTCCGTGGTCACCCGCTCCACCGCGGCCGGGTATCTCATCACGCGCACCCGAACATTCGTCTGCGCCGCCCAGCGACACAAACACTCCACCAGCGTCCCGCCGGACAAGTCCACGGCCACCAGAGCCGTGTCCAGACCAAAGACATCCGCCATAGCGGACACGAGATCACTCACCTCCTCCGGAGAACAGCTTGTCAGCCTCCGCTTCCCCCACGCCACAGCGTGCGACCCCTCGTCCACGACGGGAAGGTAGGCAGCCCCAGCAGCCTGCCCATCATCTCCGACCGCGGTGAACCACGTCTCCAGGACCCTCCGAGGCCCCAGAAACAGACACCCGTCCGTCTCCTCCATGTCTTCCGACAGCGAAGAGGGCTCCTCTCTCGCCCTCATAACTCCTCCGGAGAAAAGAAGAAAGAAAAAGAAAGAAAGCGCAACCCTCCCGTCGTTGCTGCACCCCGTGTTGCCGCTCCACTGTTGTTTCCCCCGGAAAAATAAAATAGAAGGAAAGAAATGCTCGACCCTCCCATTCTTGGAAGGGCCCCAGCCCTTCCTTTAGTATCTTCGAAGGTGGTAGAAACTGACCCAGTTTCGTCCCAAATAGGTAACCAGACTGGGCCAGCAGGCCCAGTTCTGATTGGAAGGTAAGCGGGGGGTCAGGACCCACCCGCGTCAACGGTCAACGCCCATCTTACAAGTGAATCATACAGAGCTCGCACCAAATGCTCGCTAGATGGGCGTTCTGATTCGTCCAAAGGCCAAATTATTCCCTGTCGTATCCACTTTGGTCAACGAACTTCGTTGACGACGACCCCTTGGCTCGCCGTCGCCTCGTCCGTCTGTTGGTCACGCGCCATGCCACCTTCGGCGTCAGCCACGCTCCCACACTCTGTGTTTGTTGTTGCATATCCATGGTTTCTCTTTGCAGTAGAAAATATGATTTCATCATTTTACTCTCGTAGTTATTCGCCACGTCGCTACGCTCGTGTGGCACAGGGCTGCCGCCCCGTACCCCGCGGTTCCGGAAAGGAAGTACCTCTTTTTAACATTACTAGCGGTAATCGTAGGGTAAAAGCATGCTTACACAGCACGCATGGTCCCGGGAGAAGCGAGGCACACTTGTTGGTGCCGTCGAAGGGGGTAGGAGCTTAGGGTTAGAAAAAAGGGAGCGCCCCAGCGCGACCCAGGGCCTCTAGAAAAGATACTCTCATCACTCTGTTTTACGTACATCACTCATTTCATTTCGTGGTTTGTTCTACCAGTTCATTCTATTCATTTCATTCATGGTTCTGTCTCTGTCTGTAGTCGGTGCATCTTCGCACCTGCTGGGTGGGGGAAGTGAGGCCCCACTGCACTAGTGTTGGAGTCATCTCGCGATGTTCTGTGGTGGTTCGTGCACCACCAGGGGAGGGAGAAAAGGGAGGAAGTCTCACGACCAAACTACTCCCGTATCCAGGCGCGCCAGTCACCTGCTATCGCAAAGGCCGGACATCTCTGAGGTCTGCCGAAGACCATCTCCCCGACGGTCCAACGTGGTCCCCCAAGCAGGATCACCTGCCCAGCAACGCCCACGGCGTGCATCATGGCCACCGAGCAGCATGTCTGCCGCCCCTATGGTAACGATACCACCCCAGTGGCAACGAGTCTCATCACCGACACAACCGCGTGCGGACGCGGCTCTCCTGGGTACATGACCCAGAACGTGAAGACAACCTTCCGCTGCTTCCAATGCTCCGCATCAGTCCAAGAAGCCGGCCTGGCCGAGATGATCCAACTCATACCGTCCCGCTGCTCCCCTCCCGGGCTCTTCCGCCCCCAAGCGGTCCTGTCACACACCCACTGACAGACAAAGTGCAGACGGTCAAGAAGGGGCTCTAGCTGCCATCCTGCCAACGCAACAAACTCGCCCAGCTCGGTCTCGTCAATCCCAGACGGCCCACAGGCCGTCCTCTGCCGGTAGCCAAACGCGTGCGCCACGCATCCATGGCCGCTCGTCCACTCTGCGTCCCTCGTACAAGCCTCTCCGTCCCTGCCACAGCAGTGAACAACCATCGGTCCCCGAGGACTACCAACCAAACTCCGTGGGAACAAGTACGCAGGAACACATCCTGCACGCACCACCATCACCGGACTATGGTGCTTCTGTCGCTCCCGCTCCTCCTCCTCCACGATGCCTTGCATCTGCTCGATCCATCTCGTCCACTGCTCCTCAGTCATCGCCCCCTTCGGCGACTGCACGTCCTCCGTCCCACCGCCACTCCCCGTGTCGTCCATCCTGCCTTCGCAGAGAGAAAGAAGAAAAAAGAAGAACAACTCACCCTCCGTCTCGTTGTTCCGTCCCGACTGTCGCTCTGCTATTGCTTGCTCCTGCAAAGTAGAAGGAAGAAATGTCCTGCCAGTTCATTCTTCGAGGAGGGCTCCCGCCCTCCCTTTGTACTTTCAAGGTTGGTCCAAAGTGGCCCACTTTGTCCCTTTTAGGTAACGGATTGTGGCCAGCAGGCCACATCCTCATAGGTCAAACAGGTAGGTCCAAGGACCCACTCTGTCAACGGTCAACGCCCATCTTACAAGTGAATCATACAGAGCTCGCACCAAATGCTCGCTAGATGGGCGTTCTGATTCGCTCAAATCGCGAAATATTCCCTGTCGTATCCACTTTGGTCAACGAACTTCGTTGACGACGACCCCTTGGCTCGCCGTCGCCTCGTCCGTCTGTTGGTCACGCGCCATGCCACCTTCGGCGTCAGCCACGCTCCCACACTCTGTGTTTGTTGTTGCATAGCCATGGTTTCTCTCTGTGAGTAGAAAATATGATTTCATCATTCACTCTCGTGTATTAAGCAGCGTCGCTACGCTCGAGCTGCACAGGGCTGCCGCCCCGTACCCCGCCGATCCGGAACTCTAGCCATCTTTTTAAGGAATTTATCGGTACCAGACCGAAAGCATGCTTGAAGGCACGCATCTTTGTGGGGTGAAGCCACAACTTGTGACTGTTAGTGCATCTCACGATGATTACTGGTGTTTCGCACACTACTTTCATTGCATCACTCCGCTCTTCTGGTTGTTCCACTACACATTTCATTTGATTGTTCATCTACTTGGTTGTTCCACGATGCACTTCGTCTACTATTCATCACTCATTTCATTTGCTCATTTGTTCATGTCACAGATCATTTCATTCACTGCAGTTCTACTTCCTAGTTGCACAGCCTCCTGCCCGAGTAAAGGACACCGTCCTGTCCTACAAGGATCATGGTAATACCGATGCATCGCACGATGTTCTCCGGCGCACAGCACCAGAGGAAGAAAGGAGGAAAGAAGGGAAAAGGCTTCGCCACCTCACCTACCTGGTCTGAACACACCTCTCCCTCTCCCGGGAAGAGAGAATAGCACCCAAGAGAAGAATCCTCCCTCATGACAACGCACCTCCACGGTACAACCCGTGCATCCACCCGGAAGAACCCTCTGCTAGGGATCTGGCTCCTCGTTCTCTTGTCCTCCTGCCCGCAAGTCGGAAGCACTGGGCTGTTTCGGCACACATGCCTTCAAGCAAGCCAAAGGCTGGCGAACATCTCCACGCCGCCTCTCACGGCAGCACCTTCGCGCTCCTGACTCTACTGCCGCTTGCCCCCGCTCGCGGCTCACAGACAGCCTGTCGGACTGACTTCCACTGCCGAACCAAGGTCGTTGCTCCAACCAGACGCCCATGTCCTCCTGCGACACACTCTCCACTAGAGCTCGTCCCTCGCCCGCCTGTGCTAGCGCACGCAACCACTGACGCACACTCTCACCCTGCCCACTCCGCTCGGGCAGAACAATAACAGTCAAAGACCACACATCTCCGCCCTCCTGGCCACAAGAGAAGAGACCATCCTGTTCCTTCCTGACGAACCACCGCGAGGCACAAGTGCCCAGCCGTCGGTACCACACACCGACATCTGCACTCCGTCCAAGGAGAGTAGTAACGATCCTCCAGTCCCCGTCCCGCTCTCGCACCTCTGTCTCCCCAGACAAGATAGAAGCCGCACTTACCCGTGCCCGCATCTCCAAGTAAAGGCTGCCCAGCCTTGTCAGGACTCGAATAGATCCCTCGTCCCCAACGATACCTGCCCTCCGGAAGGCAGCGTCCATCCTGGTTCCAAGGAAAGAGAAAAAAAAGAAAAGTGCACAACGATCCCCTGTTGTGGTACTCCGTCTGCCGCTCTGCTGTTTTCCTCCAAGAATGAAGGAAAGAAGGAAGAGAATGTCTGCACCCCATCCATCTCTTGGAAGGGCCCCAGCCCTTCCTTTAGTATCTTCGAAGGTGGTAGAAACTGACCCAGTTTCGTCCCAAATAGGTAACCAGACTGGGCCAGCAGGCCCAGTTCTGATTGGAAGGTAAGCGGGGGGTCAGGACCCACCCGCGTCAACGGTCAACGCCCATCTTACAAGTGAATCATACAGAGCTCGCACCAAATGCTCGCTAGATGGGCGTTCTGATTCGTCCAAAGGCCAAATTATTCCCTGTCGTATCCACTTTGGTCAACGAACTTCGTTGACGACGACCCCTTGGCTCGCCGTCGCCTCGTCCGTCTGTTGGTCACGCGCCATGCCACCTTCGGCGTCAGCCACGCTCCCACACTCTGTGTTTGTTGTTGCATAGCCATGGTTTCTCTCTGTGAGTAGAAAATATGATTTCATCATTTTACTCTCGTGGTTATTCGCCACGTCGCTACGCTCGTGTGGCACAGGGCTGCCGCCCCGTACCCCGCGGTTCCGGAAAAGAAGTACCTCTTTTTAAGGAATTTATCTGCACAAGCAGGGTAAAAGCATGTCTTAGGACACGCATCTTGGTGGGTGAAGCTGCACACACACAGCGTTTGCAGGATCTCACGATCTTTTTAGGTGGTTTGTTCCACTTCTTAGTCAATCATTTCATGCAATCACTCTGTTCATTTGTCTGTGGTTCCACGGATCACGCTGCTCATCATCATGTCTGCTCACGCCGTGCATGTACTGGTTCGACTGACACAGTCTTTCTATTACCTCCTGCTACCACTCCGATTCTATGCTCTGCCGACACTGAAAACACACAAGCCCACCCAGGGCTGCACAACACGGAGAAGTGCCCCGCACCGACCAACAGCCAAGCTGCACCACGATACTCTCGCGGAGGATGACCCAGGGCTCACGCCCCAGGCTCCCAGGAAATCGTCCTCATCACACTGATCATGGACTCATGCTGCTTACCATCAACACGATACCGCCAGAAGGTGAAATGCACGTCACGCGTCCCACTGCCGTTCCTCATCTCGCCCGACCGGGCCGAAAGCACCCAGAGACCACGCTCCATATAGTCCTCCGAGCGCTCCGGTTCCCAGAACCAGGTATACACGAAAGGCTCCCGCCCGCATGCAAGTAGCCTCGGTCGAACTACCTCGAGGAAGTTCTCCATATCATGATCCGAGATCTCACCCTTCGGTGCTGGTGTAAAGCAACACTGTCGTCCATCTCTCCGACGCTCACAGGGGCACCGCCAACGGCCCCATGACTGACAAGAAGCAGGGAAGCCCCTCCGGCTCCCGCACTGATGCCAACGCTCTATCTGTCCCGGACAGACATCGCTGCGCACAAAGAGCCACCAGTCGAGCACCGCCTGGTCGTGCACCGTCCTCTCTGATCGTCTCACTCCTCCGGTATCGCACAACTTCTCCCACTCCGTATGCGCAATCTCCTCCCGGATCTTCTCGTTGCGCTCCCGCATCGCCACGGTCTTCCGCAACCGCGACATATCCACGCTATCCGCTTTCGCCATCTCCGCCACCGCGCGGTTCACATCTCTGACCATCTCGCTCCACTCCACATCTGCCTGCCGTCAGTCATGCCTCGTTCCCACCATCGGCATAGATTTCTTGCTACCACAGTAGCCTGCCGCTCCCGCGTCTCTCAGGATCAAATACCTTCAGCAACAGCCGACTCCGTCGCGCCCTCTACTCGACTCTCCGTCCCAGAGGTACCGCGCAAGCGCGAAAGGAGACCCATCTCGAATTCCTCGCTCTGGGGAACACCCTCCGTGTACTGTTCTCGTCCCTGCTATCGCTCTGCTATTGCTTGCTCCTGCAAAGTAGAAGGAAGAAATGTCCTGCCAGTTCATTCTTCGAGGAGGGCTCCCGCCCTCCCTTTGTATCCAAGGAATGTGGGAGAAAGTGGCCCACTTTCGTCCCTTTTAGGTAACAGATATGGGCCAGCAGGCCCATCTCTGATAGGGTAGCAAGAGATGGAGCGAGGCTCCACTCTGTCAACGGTCAACGCCCATCTTACAAGTGAATCATACAGAGCTCGCACCAAATGCTCGCTAGATGGGCGTTCTGATTCGCTCAAATCGCGAAATATTCCCTGTCGTATCCACTTTGGTCAACGAACTTCGTTGACGACGACCCCTTGGCTCGCCGTCGCCTCGTCCGTCTGTTGGTCACGCGCCATGCCACCTTCGGCGTCAGCCACGCTCCCACACTCTGTGTTTGTTGTTGCATAGCCATGGTTTCTCTCTGTGAGTAGAAAATATGATTTCATCATTTTACTCTCGTAGTTATTCGCCACGTCGCTACGCTCGTGTGGCACAGGGCTGCCGCCCCGTACCCCGCGGTTCCGGAAAAGAAGTACCTCTTTCTGACAGCATTCGGTACCAGACTAAAAGCATGTTTTAGGACATGCATCTTTTGAGGGCATGCACACACAGTGTTCTGCAGATCTCACGATCCTTCTTGGTGGTTAGTGCACCACACTTCATCTCATTTCATTCAATCAGTCACGCTGTTCAATTTCTATCGTTCCTCTTATTCATGCACGCAGCTTCCACTACTTATGATACATCCATCTCATCCTGTCTCAAGCCTGCTGCTGCACTACGCATCGCATGGTCCCTAATTCCACCTTGACCACAAAAGAAAACCACCGTCGACTCCGTCTCTACGCCAGCTCATCGCCACGTACTAGTCCAGCTCCGGCGGGACGATGCACAACTGAATGTTAAAAGAAAGGGTAGCTCTCCGAGCAGCCAAGCGGGGAGAACAAAGACGGCCCGCAGCGGCCTGTACACTAACCAGAACGTAAGCCATACTAACCAAGTACCACTGCTCACGCGTGCAATGCGCATCAACGAAATGATGCAGATCTTCCAATCGGCCCACAGGATCCTGGGAAGAATGCCTCCAGCACATAGAACAGATCCTATGAGAGCGCAGCTCACGCACCACCGGCACATCGAAAGACACACACGCATCACCGCGCCGCGCTGCAGCAGACGCCATGGCAAGCACAAGCCCCGCGAAATACGGAACAAGCCCCGACACCACAGGGCTCCTCTCCCCCTCCGTGGAAGGCAACGGCCGACTCTCCATGGTCAGCCCACGGTCCCGCGCCCAGCGCAGAAGGGAAGTAGACAACAGTCGCTCCGCACCCTGCAACTCGGACAAAGTCCCGCGACCACACCGAGTCATCACTCCATCTAACATCGCCTCCAGCTCTAGCGCAACAGTCAAGCGAAGATCCGGGTCCTGCGAGGACACCTGATCCAACCACTGCTCCGAGGTCTGACTCCATCCTACCAAGTATTGATCCTCAGCACACTCCATTCTGCTCGACCCCCGGTCAGGGAAGACCAGTCACAACCGTTCCTCTCTCACGTCCACCAGGACGCTACTGTAAGAAAACAAAGCGCCACAAGCGCTCCTCCTCTCTGCCTTCGTACACAACCAAGCCTTGCTCGTGTTCCGACGCCGCGCAGCGGCTATCTGAGGGGACCACCAGTCCCCGTGCTGCCTCCGCTCCTCCTAATCGCTCACTGTCGTTCGTGTCGCCGATGCACGCAGTGCATCAGTAGGCTTGGTTCTTGGCCACAAGAACAAAGGGAAAAGAAAATCCAAAGGACAACTCCTCCGTCTCGTTGTTCCGTCCCGACTGTCGCTCTGCTATTGCTTGCTCCTGCAAAGTAGAAGGAAGAAATGTCCTGCCAGTTCATTCTTCGAGGAGGGCTCCCGCCCTCCCTTTGTACTTTCAAGGTTGGTCCAAAGTGGCCCACTTTGTCCCTTTTAGGTAACGGATTGTGGCCAGCAGGCCACATCCTCATAGGTCAGCCAGTCGTGGAGGCAGGCTCCACTCTGTCAACGGTCAACGCCCATCTTACAAGTGAATCATACAGAGCTCGCACCAAATGCTCGCTAGATGGGCGTTCTGATTCGCTCAAATCGCGAAATTATTCCCTGTCGTATCCACTTTGGTCAACGAACTTCGTTGACGACGACCCCTTGGCTCGCCGTCGCCTCGTCCGTCTGTTGGTCACGCGCCATGCCACCTTCGGCGTCAGCCACGCTCCCACACTCTGTGTTTGTTGTTGCATAGCCATGGTTTCTCTCTGTGAGTAGAAAATATGATTTCATCATCTCACTTCCGTGGTTATTCGCCACGTCGCTACGCTCGTGTGGCACAGGGCTGCCGCCCCGTACCCCGCGGTTCCGGAAAAGAAGTACCTCTTTTTAAGGAATTTATCGGTACCAGACCGAAAGCATGCTTGAAGGCACGCATCTTGGATTGAATGAAGCTGCACCACTACGCTTCTGCACACATCTCACGATCTTTTCTGGTGTTTGTTTCACTGCACACATTACATTTCATTTCATGCAATCACTCCATTCTTCTGATTGTTCCACTGGTTATTCCATCACTCCGTTTCTTATTATACTGGACACATGCTCCCCATACACGATCTCCATTCCTCCACATGCATGTACTATAACTCTGACTGCCTACTCATAGCCTTCTTGCCTTTGCCCCGCTTGGGCACACGGATCCTCGTCCTGTTCTCCTCTGCCCACGTCGAAGAGTCATACTGCTTCGCACCCACGTTCGCAGCAGCCCTCATACTAGGAAAAGTCTTTCCGTAGTCCAAAGCGCTTCGGGAAAAACCCACGGGCACTTCCTTGCCGAGCGGACACCTGATCCTCAGGAAACAATAGTTAGCACGATACGACGACCACTGCACATCCGTGCCTACCTGTACTCTTGCGGCTCCTGCCTCACACTGAGACCCTTTTCGCCCAGATGCAAAAGCAAACTCTGCCGATCACCCGGATGGCGAACAGAACAAACCTCGGGTCCCCCCTCGTCAATCTCCGACCACCCGGAATACTTCACACGCATTGACTGCTTACTGTCCGGACGCATGTCATCGGCCACCCAGTAGCCTCGCTGCGCAAACGTGATATGGGGGAAAAGCGAGAAGACCACTCCTCGCCCGGTCAAATACGTACCCACCATGGTACCATACACCCGGCTGGTAATCACCTCCTGCACCCGCATCTTCAGCCGCACAACGTGGACCACCGACAAGAGCCCATGCTCTCCGCGCGTCAAACACGCGACAGACCCCTCCGGGAGTCCCGTCCACTCTCCCAGCGTGTGTCGACAGGATCCCCCGCTCACAGCATAGCCACAACGCAGCAGATACTGCATCACCTCCGACTGCGCCGCCCCAGGCGGGCATAGCACGTCCAACGAGAACGCACCCGTGGCCAACTGCCACTTCGTCTTCCATGACATACCGACAGCCCCAAGAAGGGCCGTCCCGGTTACCACCGCGTTCTGCTTCCGCAGCATGTCGAGAAACCGTCTCGGCTCCGTCACGCCGAACATCCAGAACAAATCGCGCCTCCGGGCGACCTCAGCACCACTGGCAGATGACTCCCCGTCACCCATCGTATCGCCAGCTCCGCAGCGCACACAAGATCGAAGAAAGAGAGAGGAACAAAGACAACCTTTGTTTCCTCCAACAAAAGGGCAGCCCCTACCCTTATACCCTCCAGGCCCCGCCCATCGCCTCCCCCTCGGGCCAATCAGCCCCCGGCACATGGTCTCCGACCCACTCTCCGCGTTTCGCGCTAGCCAAGTCCGGGTTCCAGTGGCCACAGCCACCGTCCCCTTCAATAGTACGACTGTTCGCCCTTCGGCTCCCAGTCTATTAGGTAAGCGGTAGGGTCAGGACCCACCCGCGTCAACGGTCAACGCCCATCTTACAAGTGAATCATACAGAGCTCGCACCAAATGCTCGCTAGATGGGCGTTCTGATTCGTCCAAAGGCCAAATTATTCCCTGTCGTATCCACTTTGGTCAACGAACTTCGTTGACGACGACCCCTTGGCTCGCCGTCGCCTCGTCCGTCTGTTGGTCACGCGCCATGCCACCTTCGGCGTCAGCCACGCTCCCACACTCTGTGTTTGTTGTTGCATAGCCATGGTTTCTCTCTGTGAGTAGAAAATATGATTTCATCATCTCACTTCCGTGGTTATTCGCCACGTCGCTACGCTCGTGTGGCACAGGGCTGCCGCCCCGTACCCCGCGGTTCCGGAAAAGAAGTACCTCTTTTTAAGGAATTTATCGGTACCAGACCGAAAGCATGCTTGAAGGCACGCATCTTGGATTGAATGAAGCTGCACCACTACGCTTCTGCACACATCTCACGATCTTTTCTGGTGTTTGTTTCACTGCACACATTACATTTCATTTCATGCAATCACTCCATTCTTCTGATTGTTCCACTGGTTATTCCATCACTCCGTTTCTTATTATACTGGACACATGCTCCCCATACACGATCTCCATTCCTCCACATGCATGTACTATAACTCTGACTGCCTACTCATAGCCTTCTTGCCTTTGCCCCGCTTGGGCACACGGATCCTCGTCCTGTTCTCCTCTGCCCACGTCGAAGAGTCATACTGCTTCGCACCCACGTTCGCAGCAGCCCTCATACTAGGAAAAGTCTTTCCGTAGTCCAAAGCGCTTCGGGAAAAACCCACGGGCACTTCCTTGCCGAGCGGACACCTGATCCTCAGGAAACAATAGTTAGCACGATACGACGACCACTGCACATCCGTGCCTACCTGTACTCTTGCGGCTCCTGCCTCACACTGAGACCCTTTTCGCCCAGATGCAAAAGCAAACTCTGCCGATCACCCGGATGGCGAACAGAACAAACCTCGGGTCCCCCCTCGTCAATCTCCGACCACCCGGAATACTTCACACGCATTGACTGCTTACTGTCCGGACGCATGTCATCGGCCA